TGGCCCACGAATTAAAGCAAAAAATCCTGGATACTGGGGGATCCTGAATTAGCCCAAATCCCCCCAAATTTCACAGGAAAATACCGATATTTAAATGCAGATTTATCACTGCCCCGCACACGATAGAGATGGTGCAGTTGCTCTGCATAATTTTTCATTCCTGTTTATTAATTCTTAATAATTTGGGTTAATTTGGGTTAATTTCCTTCCATTTTATGAATTTTTGTTTCTTTTTTCACACGGGGAAAAGCCAGCGGGAAGTTCCCTGCCAAAGATGCCGCAGGGATGCGCGGATCAGAAAATTCCCGGGATGGAGGAAGAGGAAAAAAAGGAACCGGAAAATTCCCGGGATGGAGGAAGAGGAAAAAAAGGAACCGGAAAATTCCCGGGATGGAGGAAGAGGAAAAAAAGGAGCCGGAAAATTCCCGGGATGGAGGAGGAGGAGGAGGAAAAAAAGGAACCGCGGGCTCCATCCCGGCAGCCTCACGCCTGGAATTCGAGGGAGAGGCAAAGAGCTGTCAAACGGCGCCTTTTGCCTTAGGAAAAAACGGAATAATCCTAATAAAAAAAAAGCTAAAAAGAAAAAGCACCGCTGTTTTTCCTCCTTCTGCGTTTCAATATCCTCAAATCGAAATATTTCCCAGCAGGGAAATTGGCAACCAGGACTCCTCGAAGGTGAAAAAAGCCTAAAAAGTCGATTTTGAGTCTGGGAATTATTGCCCGAGGGTTTGTAGGGCCGGGCCGGGGCTGCGCGGCCCCTCCGAGGCCACGGACTCCTCATTAATTAAGCTTAATTACACCGCATGCTCGTTTATTTGCTGCTCATACAATCGTGAAGCCCATGTACAAATAACATACAGGTTTTATTTCGGGATTTTTTTTTTTTCTTTAGGGACAAAACGTACAAAAAAAAAAAAAAAAAGGCGAAAAAACCAAAAAAACAAATCCACATAATTACAATTTTATACAGTGCAGAAAGAATTAAAATAGGTGTCACCGAACTGTACAACGTCAGGGTGGAAAAAAAAAATAGAGAGGGAAGGGAGGGGAATAATCCTTCATTATATATATATTTCTATAAAAACATATGGAGGATTGTCTTTACACAGAGACCACGGTCGCTTGCAAATTTACAAAGGTTAACTAAAAAAACCCAAATCTATATGGCAAATATTGCCAACAGAGATTCCCCGATTTAATACTGATCAACTGAGACTATTCGTGTCTCCATTATTAGCAACAACAACAACAAAAAGAAATGTAGAATAAATAACAGGATGAGCATGGCTGTCTCTTTCCAAAGTGCCTTGTTCTCTCTGCATAGGGTCTGGTCCTGCAGTCTTTATGCAGGCAAAAAAAAAAAAAACAAATTTTTTTTTTTTTTTTTTTTTTTTGCCCGCTGGGTGTTGGCCGGCAAATAAAAAAAAAAAATAAAAAAATTTTAAAAAAAAGGAAAGAAAGGAAAAAAAAAACAAATTTAAAAAGGTATTTTTCCGGGCTCGAAGTGAGACGGGATTTGAGTTCGGGGTCTTTTCCAGCCCCCTCAGCCCGACCCGGCTCTGCTCCTCCCAGCCGAGCCGCTGCCATCGCTCACCGCCAAAACGAGTTTGAAATTTCATATTTTGTTTTTAAAGAAGTATCAAAACCTCATTTGGCAAAGCCTCACCCCAAATCGCAGCCGGGGTTTTCTGGACGGACGGGGGGAGCTGCATTTTGGCTTTCTCCTCCCCGGGCAGGAGAAGGCACGGGCGCTGCGGGCTCGCACCCCCGGCCGGGGCTCTGCTCATTCCCGGCTCCTCTCTCCGCTCCGCCGCCGCTTCCCCGAGCTCCGCTCCGTTCCTGCTGCCCAAAGCCAGGCTGGGACACCCCCCTGGCACCCAGAGCGTCCTGAGGGATCTCCTCTGGGGGATGCTCAGCGCTCGCCTGGCCGGCCCCAGCAGCGGGGATTTGCCGCCGCGGCTCACATAACGCACGGCTTGATGTCCTGGTATGTCACTTGTTGGTGGTAATAGGAGCCGCTGCCCGCTGAATGCATGGAGGAGGAGGCCATGGCGTTGAAAGAGAAGACGAATTCCTTTCTGTCGCACATGCTCGGAGACTGCGAGTGATACCGCGGGATGCCTGCGGGACGGGGGGAGAGATGGTCAGCAGCGCCGAGAGATTTAGGAGGGGAGAGTGAGCGAGGAGGAGGGAGAAAAACTCTGGATGGGGTAGAAAAAAAAATCCCAACAACCCAACCGGCCCTCTCGGCCCGGTCCGAGCGCGGATTTGGGGGTATTTCGGCACCGCCGGGGCTCCGCGGGTGCGGGCAGGTGCGGCGGAGCAACACCCGCGGCGCTTCCCTGCCCGGCCCGGGGCTCTGCGACGAGAAGGGATTTGCTTTGGGTTTAGGGTTTGGGGTTTGTGGTTTTTTTTTCAACACTTCGATTTATTTTCTTTCGCCCCGGCTGTTTTTCCCATCGCCTCGGCCCGTGCGGGAAATGCGGTGGGTGCGGAGCGGGGCAGCTCCCGTTCGTACCGGGAGCGAGAGGCTCCGGGAGCGGGGATGCTCCTACCGCTCCTCCCGCCAGCTCGCCATGGAAAAGCGCCCCGGGAATTCGGGCTGCGCTGGGGATGGGGTGTCCTGGCCGGGAGCGCTCCCCGCAGCTCTTTTGGGTGAAAATCAGAGCGTTTCGGTGAAGGCCGCGCACGGGCCCAGTGGCTCCTCGGGGCGGATTCCCAGCTCCGTTTTCCAGAGGCCCGGGATGCGCTGAGCTCCGGGAACTGCCCCGGGGCCGGGCCTGCGGCTCTGCCCGGCTTCTGCAGCTCCGGCCCGGCCCGCCTGATGCTTTTTCCCCTTTTCGCTTTGTGTCTTTGACCCATTTGTTCTCCGCTTCACTGCCGTTCCCGTCAGGCACATCCCGCTCCCCCGAAGGCCCGGGGTGATGGGCAGGGACCCCCAAATCTGCCCCATCAGCCGCCCGTGGCTCCCCCGTGCCACGAGAGTCCCACAGCCACCGCATCCCGAGGGGAATTTGGGCAGCAAAGCGAAACCCAGCGCTGGCCTCGTCCCTTCCGAGGCCTCTTCCCGGCCAAACACCATTCCCATTCCAAGACCCAGGGCAAAAGCAGCCCCGACAGCTCCAGGAACGAGACCGAGCCGGGGTTTTGGGGCACGGGAGGATTTGGGGGGTCCGGGCCGCCGGCAGATGGAGGGAGGTGATGGGCCTGGAAAACACGGCCCTGAGATGTGTGGAAAACACAGCTGATGGCGGGGAAGGGGCCGGGACGGGACGGGGAGGGATGGAGCGGGTGGCGGAGCATCCGATGAGGAATTCCTCCCTTTTCCTTCTGCGGAATCCTCCAAGTCCCGATGGAGGTGGGAGAGCCCCAGGGTGCAACCCCGGCCTCTCCTTCCCGCAGCTCCCCGCTGCCTCAGCCCACCGGCTTTAGGCCCGGGACGGCCCTGGAGGTGAAGCAGCCGCCGGGAAGAGCGGAGCCCCGGCCCGGGAGAGCCGAGCCCCGGCCCGGGAGAGCGGAGCCCCGGCCCG